ATAATTGAACTTTCAAAGAAATTTATGTTTTACAGTATTTCTTTAGAACACTTTCTAAAAAGTTAATAGAAAAAGCTTCAACGACTGCAGTCTGACAGTTGAAAAGTCCTGTTACGGCTTCCCTCCTACCTCCATGTCAATACCTTGGTGCTTTTCAACCTCACTTGCTACATAAATGAGTCATCCGCAGCGGGGTGAGTGTCCTCACTCCACAGGGCCTCCCCTGGGAGTGTGTTTGGAAGCTCACATTTTACGAGCTGGTCGTCTCTGTTTTGCAGCCTGTTTGAAGGCGAGCTCCTCTTTAGAATCACTGTGCACTAACACGTTCTGCGTTGCTTTGTCCTTTGGTCTCGGGTCCTGTGTTTAGGTCCCAGATTCCCAGTGACAGGAGCCATTCACGACTCACGTCCCGGAGTCCAGCAGGCTTTTAGCTCCTGTGGCTTTGTCATGGAGAGTCGGTCACGGTGCTCTGAACCTCTGCTGGTCACTAACGGAGCCCTTCGATGGCCGCCTTCCACTGCAGAGATTCCCCGAGGATCCAAGGCCAGTGACGTCCACGCTGACCCATACCCCATGCTCCTCACAGAGGGAAGCAGCACTCTGCCCAACAGCAGCATCGGAACCTGCAGTGGTCAGGGGGGGTCAGTGGGCCCCGAGGCTTGAGGGCGGCCTCCCATGCTTCCAGCTGGCTTTGTCTCCCCACAGGTGGAGGTAGACACAGATTCATTTTGGGAGTGTAGTCACCTTTGTTCAAACTTAAGATTAATTAGAGTTAGTTCTAGATTCAAGCAAGCCTGTTTTTGAGCTTTGGTTTCATGACTGTTAAGAATTTTATCTTTCTTAAGCTTGCTATGAGAGGCCACACTGTGGGCTGCTAACAGCATCACTGTGGGCAAGAGCTCAGCTCTTACACAATATTTTCCAGGTATAACTTTAGAAAACATTTTTTAAACAGCAGAGAAACTTTTGTGAACAATATGACAAATGGAATGGAAGTTCTCCTGGAGAAGGGAACCGGGGCCATTATTCTTTTATGGAGTACAAATGATCACATTTTGAAAATTTTCTCTTTTCTATTTAATATATCCAGGACTGATGAAAACAGCCTGATGAAAATACCTTGGAGATCAGTGTTCTCTCTCCCTCAAAGCCTAATACCTGCACATTTCCCAGGTCTCTGCTGCCAGACAATTTTATTATTTAACATTTGTCAAATGGCGGCGGCACCAGACACTTGGAGAACACACACAACTCTATCTTTCCCCTGGGCACTTGCACGCCCCCACCAAAGTCCAGCCAATGATGACTTTGTAGTTCTGGGGACATGGTGGGAAGGGACTGAGGAATGGGGCAAACTCAGCCTGCAGGGGTGGAGCACAGGAAATCCAGGGCGAGAAGATGCGGCACCTGCTCACAGGGGCATTAGAATCGGCCCCACCATCATAGCACATCCTCTCGTTTCTTCTTGATAGTGTGGCTCTCTGGTTGTATCCGTCAGTGCTTATCAGAGCAACAGATTTAATGCAAGATACATTAATATCTAAGAATGTCCAATACTGGCTTACCATGGCCTCCCGCAGAGTCAGGTGTGGAAGGGTACAGAAGGCCTAACTGCACACAGGAGACCTGAAGGATCCCCCCCAGAGACCTGGAGCTCAGTGCTGCATCCTGTGTGAGTCCGTATCTGCAGGCTGAAGCGTCTGCGATGGAAGCCTGGAGATGATGTCGGGGTGAAGGTGAAGACTCGGGCTCTTCTGAACAAACAGAAGTGAGCCTTCCTTCTTTGTGTTCCACGTATGCCATCATGGTGACAGTCCTCCCCAGGGGATCTTCCCCACCCAGACGTATGCTGAGCCAGTTTAGTAGGGCATTTCTCGCTCAAGTTAACACAGTTAACTATTACATTTCATCTGTCATTTATTTTCACACCTGATGCTAGATAACTTTGTCACAAAATAAGAAAATGTGTCACAACATAAAAAATAGATCACAAAATAAGAAAATGACAAGGAAAGACTGATAACTGTAAAAATTATTGCTGTCAAATGGTATATTTATATAATAAGGCATAATTGAAAACATGATCTTAAAGGCTGGTAGCACAAATTATGCTGTGTAAGTTATTTTTGCGACATAGCACAGGGAGAACCTAAACTGACCACAGTGGCCTCTGGAGCATAGTTTGCTGCTTCTTTTTTAAGGGTGGCATTTTGTCTTACTGGTATCTGTTGGTTTTGCGCTATTGCTAATATTATTCTAGCTACTTTCATATTACCATTTCTACTTTTAGACTGTGTAAGGCAGGGCTGAAGTGACAAACTCTGGAAGTTGTTCAAAGGGCCCCTGTCCTGGCCTTCGTCCAGGTGATCAGCCCTACTCACCCAGCCCCCCCTCCAGGGGAGTGCTGCCCACAGGGGACAGAAGCAGAGCCCCTTCCTATGGCTTCTTATTTAACTGAAATTCAGGAGAGGCCCACAATCACAGCAAAGCCACCTGCTAAACTGTGAACCCAATCGGCTGCCATGTGACCTATCTGCAGAAAGACATGTTACTAAAGCTGGGCTGACCTTGGTGGAGACCAAAACAGAGAGGCACACAGAAGTCTGGGAAGCAGGAGCAGCGAGTGCAGTCCTTAGACCACTGTCTGACGTCATGAAGCAGCAGGAGTGGCTCCTATCCTGCAGAAGGAAGGGGCCTCCGGTCCGGCTTCCTTTGGCCGCCCAGTGGTCTCCTCGTTGCTAGTTACCCGCTATGGATATTTCACTGTTTGGCAAGAGCTGAATGAACGCAGCTCTTCCAGGTGCTAGGAAGGAATTTTTCCCTAGTATGGGTTTAGTAGCTTGGGTTATAAATCAGTCCTCTGTGAGTCTGGTTAACCTAACTTGGGCTGCAGAACCCTGAAGGAGCCCAGGACTCTGCCTCCCTCTCCTGCCCTAGGAGGCCAGGTTTTGGGATTGGGGAGGTTGCCTGTCCTGTGACAGAGCACTGAAATTTTGAAACTTTTTAAAAAAAACTTAAGAAAATTGATTTGTGAAATGGTATTTTGATGGAAAATTTTTGTCTGTGATCCACAGTCCTTAGCACTTTTCCTTATTCTTTTTCAAAATGTAAAAACCAAGTTGGATAATTATGTGGAGTTTCCATAAAGTTGGTGCCAAATAATTTTTTTTCTGTTCCTCAGGAAAATTCCCTGGCTTAGCAATACGGTCACTTCCTGGCAACCCCCTGACAATCTTGAACTCAAGGCATCTGAAATACTTACTCTTCCAGGGGAAAAACAGTTGGCTCTCACACACCCTTCTCCTTCCAGTGTACAGCAGAAGAGAGAAAACAATTTCAAATGAAGTGACCGGAATTTCGACCATCCTAGTCCCCAAAGAATTCTCAAAATCTAGTGACAGTTAAATTTAATTCAGAAATTTTGCAAAAATTTTGCAATAAAATGGTTTGCTTTACCACTCTCCTCTCATATACATATAGATGGAACTATTTTCCAGACAAGGAATCGTAATGAAGTCTTGGGGCTCCCTGGTCCTGGGTCCTGACCTGCCCTGCTCCGGAGGGAGTCTCAGATAGCTGATAACATCACATCTTCTGGGCGTCTGTGTCACACTAGGCGCTTGTCAAGCTCGCTCCTTCATCTCTTGTTTCTCCCTTAATTCTAACAGAATTTAATTAAAAACATGATACCATAAGCAAAAACTGCCTCAGGGACATTTTCTCCCCAAAGTTCAGAGCACCTCCTCTCTTTATTCTTTACAAAGCTCTGTGAAGTAGGTGGGGGAGAAGGATCTTATCTACTTCATGTAATTCTTTAGGAATCGTTTTGATCCTGATTGAACAAAGATCTCACATGCACTTTTGCATTTATTTCTTGAGCGAGCTAAAGGCACAGTGGGAGGATAACAGACTGGAAAGATATCTGTCTTCTCCCCAATACTAAATTGCTTAAAATGGAAAATTGCAAAATAGAGTTCTTGGCATGTAAATATGCAAGAGTACATCCACAGGGCTCACGAGAGAACAGAAGTACAGCTCCCTAGTGTATGCGTTCAAACATCTCCAGCTTAACTGCAGGAAGGTGCAACGGGCTGCCATGGGAAGTGCTCTGGGAGTAGTGGTGAGGGTCACTCCGAGGGGCTCAGCTTGGTGGGTGGTCACCGTATCCTGAGTGGGTCCTCTGAGGTCCTGTGTTCAGGATCAGAGCGAGGGTCAGGAGTACACCACTAGCCCCCACCACTGTCCTAGTGGCAAGGATGATGCGGGGACTGCTGTGCAAGATGCCCTGGTTCTATGCTAAGGTTGCTCAGGGATTCTGCAGCAGTGATTTCAGGGCAACAAGACTTAGGAGCAAAGCTACTTTAAAGGTGAGAGAGACCGCCCGGGCTCGCACATGCACAGCCACCCCACCTCCACCAACCACACTTAAGATGTTAGTTCTGATCATCAGAAAAAAATCATCCTAACAACCTACTCGAAGCTCTCTTTCCAAAAGGTGACAAGTGTTTGAGGGGAAATAGGAGTTGGAAAATGTCTCAAGTGTGTGAGAAGCTTCTGAGGCTGCCATCTTCAGCCCCTTTGTCATGAAGAATAATAGATCAGAATCTGTTGAATCAGAGACCAGGGCGAGAGTGTTATGGGGAGAGGCTGCAATCTTTGATCAGCATTTGGAGCAGAGCACAGAAAACCGTACTGTGGGGACCCAGCACTGCCCTCCACCCCGGCCTCTAGGGCTACAGCATCTGACGTTACTGAATCCGCCTCGCTGGCCCTTCCTGGGGCCCTGATAATATCAACAACAGCACCACAAGGCTGCGGACAAGGCCATTTCCTGCCTTTGTTAATTAAAATAATTTTCCTGCATTGATCTCATTATGGCAAAATTCTATTTGGGCAAGACACTACCTTCAGGGTAAAATTAATCAAATGTACAGAAGACTTTCTTCACTGTTCATAAGAGTTCCTTAGGTTATGAAATAGAAGGAAATTGTTGCCAGTACCTGGTTTCTTCGGAAGACTCTGGAATCTGTCACTATCGGATTGTTTTCTGGCTGTCTTCTGTTGGAAAACTGTCAACAAAATATAGAACCTATTACTTATTGGACATAAACATTTTTTAAAAAGCAAGAATACCGTGAACATCTCCAGGAAGCTAGAATGTAACAGATAATTTCCCTTAGTAACAATTCCTGCATGTATTATTTTTGAGTAGGAGGATTATTACATTTGTAATTTTCTCATTTGTGCAGTTTATCAGTCATTTCGGAAAAGCATTTCCTTTGGACAGAGTAGCACGCTGATGGGATGCCTCATTAAACCAGTTAAATCAAGTTAGGATTCCATTTTGATATCAGGTACAGATAAAAGCTGCATTTTGTTAAAAGTGATAGATGTTAAAATGGCACAAAAAATCCATTTGCCCAGAAATTACTCAGGCTGACGTTTTGGTGATAAGCGAGGATAATGACTATCTCTGCTTAAACAGATGAAAAGTGTTGTATTTCATAGACGTAGTAATAAAACCGGCACTTGATTCTTGCATCATCCACCCAGCCTCAGACCTATTAAAGCAGCTTACTTGAATTACTTCATTATCTGAAAAGTGCTTTGTTCTCATTTATTATTTCTCACACGAAATTCTGGGAGGCAAGTCAGCATTACTCACCCTGTGGTGCAGATGAAAGATAAGATCGTCTGTTTAATATTCATGGAGTACCCACAAAGTTCTGGAGAGATTCTGACATTTGCTAATGAACAAGTACAGACCCTTTACAACTTTACTTTGGAAAATGAACATCCCAGAGTTCCATTTATTTTTTATGGGCAGTCTGAGTTATGGGTTTTGGGAACTGGAAGAGGCCTGGGAGACTTTGTCCAACCTCAGATGTTTATAGACAAGGGAGGTAGAAGTGACTCGCCTGGAAAAGGCTAAGTCATTTTGCTCCGATCCCAGAGCTGCTGTTAGTGGAGAAGCCATTTAGACCTTCAAGCCTTGAGCTGTAGGCGGTTGCGAGGTTTTCAGAGCACGGTTGCCTCCCTTTCTCTGTAACTAGTTCTTCTCTATAGCTAGTCCTTCTCCGTAACCAGTCCCTCTCTGTAGCTGGTGCCCTGCCGTAACTGGTCCCTGTCTGTAACTGGGCCCCTCTGTGACCGGTCCCCTCTAGACAGAAGGAAGGAGACAGAGGTGAAGGGTGGAAAGGAGCCTAGGACATTTAGGAACTGTTGGTCTCTCCTGCTTTGAAAGGTTCTGTGGGAACCTCTGGGTGGAACTGAGACTGGACGGCACTAGGTCACTGGGGATGGGCCTGGGAGACATGTCGCAGGGTAATCATGAATGTCCATCTTGGTTAGCCAATCTAATATCCAGATCATATCTGGGATTAACATTGAAAACATCTTTTGAATTTTCAAAAGTTCCCCAAATCAAATCAAATCAAATCAAATCAAATCAAATCAATTGTTTATTAAGCATCTAATTTGAAGGATGTTCTCCAGAGAAGGCTGCCATCTCTGTCCTCAGGAGAGGCTTGGGTTTTTCTAAAGTGAAACACCAGAGAAGTATTTTCAAACACCACAGCATTTCTGGTTGAAAAGTGGTTTCTTCTTAAGTCCTCTGCTTATATGTTTGTGCTTTTCCTGTGTCTTATACTTTTATCTCATATTTTACACTTGTGCCTTACATTTTTTCCCAAAATGAAGTTTATTGAAGGATAGATATATGGCATGGGAGAATATTTCAGGATGTTAGAAGAATTATTTTTAAATAGTGTTTGATTGTCAGTAGTATTTGATTTGGCCAGTTCTAAAAGTTTTGAGCAAAGGCCATTTTTGTAGTTTTAATGCCATGCAGACTCTGCTTTATTTTTGCCAATATTAAGATATAACTGAAATTCTCTAAAAGACAAAGGAACCATCACTGGGCATCATTAACTTGGGAAATGACTCGAATCCAAAGACAAGCTATTCGACTAAAAGCACATTCCCTGGTAAGTCTTAAGAATTCTGCTGAGCTTCACAGGTACAGTGTGTTTGGAAATGGAATTATATTTCCAGTTTTGAGGTGTTAATTTTCTATAAATCACTTCATACTCTATTTTATTGGATATTTTCTTAGGACAGGATGTGCTCAGGCTGTGTCAAATACTGTCACTGTGAAACCAATCAAAGCTGTGCCTTCTGATGAGACTACGCAGTCTCAAAGATGCCTGCGCTCACTGAGTTCTCACCAAGGATTACAGGGCACTGCCTGGGTGGGTCTGGGACGATATGAGGAGTTGGGCGGAGAAGGTGAGGATGGATGCCCGTGACAGATCTTCTGCAAAGACAGGCTGTGTACGTCTCTCGAACAGACATCTCCCATGCTTGTCTGAGCAGCCCTGGCATTTCCTCAGCCTCTGGTGGCACCTGGTCTCTGCTCTTTTTCTCACACCTGCTGGGGAGCTCAGTTCCTGACATAAACCCCAGCATCAGTCACTTATTGCCAAATACACCGTCTTCTCAACATTATGAGTTTGCAGGGCATGATGACACACACCTGTCATCTCAACTACTCTGGGGGCTGAGGCAGGAGGTCACAAGTTCAAGGACAGCCTGGTGAGACTCTGCTTCAAAATAAAAGGGGCTGTGAATGTAGCTCAATGGTAAAGCACCCCTGAGTTCCATGGCCAGTACCACAAACACAACAAAACAAAACAAAACACAACAAAACAAAACAAGCCAAGACAGAGCAAGAAAAAGCAAAATAATAAAACAAAACAAGACGAAACAAACAGGAGATATTTTTAAAATACGAAGTAACTTTGGGAAAAGACTTGTTTCTTGAAGGAGGAGCTAGAGCTAGCATGCACAGTGAGGATTCATACTCAGTTTTAGATAAAGAATAGATACAAAATTCTAGAATTTTTTATTCTTTCCTTTTTACAGTTAATAATAGCTGAAACATTTTCACTGCATCTACCAGCAAAATTTCTGTCCTACAAGATTTATGCATTTATGTACAGTAAAACCATTCTGTACAATTCAAAAGAGGTAAATATAAGAGCTAAATCCATGACAGAATAAGATCTGACATTTCTGAGTCACTCAGATTTATAAACAAATGCATATATATATATATATATGTATGTATGTATTTGTAAAGGAAGATTCATGAGTAGGTAGACATCTGCTTTGAACATCAATAATCAAAAAGCACGTGTATCTCAAATGCTATCCAATTGGGCACTGCAGAGAAGACAGAATTTTGTCTCAGATCACCATGGATGATGTGAGCAAAGGTATTTCTGTTTCCAGCTTTACTGTATTGTCAATAAAGCCAGGGCTTTGATGCAGTGATCTTGACCATCTTCCTCAGCTTGCTTTCTGAGATTCTCCCAACCCTTATTTCCCTAGGTAAGCTAGGTCTCATGGCACTGGGATCAGTTCTGAAGTGGGTATGGACTGAAATAGAAGGCTGTGTTTTGAGCAAAAGATTATTTGTAATTTAGTGGCTTAGCTAATAGAAAATCCAGAATGTTGAACCATGGACAAATGCAAAGTTTTAGTAACATATTGGAACAGTCTCACTCCTGTGCTTGAGTTTTGGAGGATATTCTGTCAACCACATTTTACCTCATCAATATTCAGAGAATGCTATCAAGGCAATTATAACACATTGTCATTTCTGATAAGTTTCTGCCCTGAGATATCTTACTTTTTCTTGTTACCTAGGATTGGAATTGGGAAAGAACATGAACATATTACTTGTTATTATTCCCTTTAAACATGAAAATGTTCACAGACAAGGAAATAGGAGTTCTGAGGTTTAAAATAATCCTAAACAATACAAACGTCCACAATAACACCCTCATCTATTTTAAATATAGTCAGAACAACTTCTGTAGAAGTTTTGCTGGAACTGAGATGCCACTGAATGGGAAAAATTAGCATGGTATTAAATATTCAGAAAGCTCAGCAAACCAGAGGTGGAGGCAAGGCAGAGGGGAGGAGATTGGGCTCTGTGAACACCCTCGCTCCGTCTGTCTATCCTGCAAAGAATTCGGCCCACAGGCTCAATTTCAACTGCTGCAAGCAAGATACCCATCGCTGCTTCCTAAGAAGAGCTGATGATGCTGACAGCGAGCTACTTTATCAGTGGCTAAGGGATGAAAAGTTTGCACTGGCCAACAGCCTTCCTGAAGGTGTGAGCTGTGAGCCAGCAGAGGAAAATGCCTGTCAGTAATCAGTGTTTTCGTAGCTAGAGATTTGACAAGGAAAAAGATACACACATCCCGCTGCATTCTGTGCACTCAGAGAATAGTGCTTGCTCACGCTCAGACCTTCCAAAAGGTCCCAAACTGCACACCCTAGTGCTATGCCAAGTCCCGAGGGAAGAAAGGAGCGAAGACCCAGCCAAGGTCCCCATCACGATGGAACCCTTTGGGCAAGGACCACAGGTACCACCTGTGGGGACAGAACAAAGTGGAAAGTGCCCAAGAAGAATAGTGGTCACACTGGGTCCTGGCAGCCCCGTTCTCCTACCTTGCCTCTCCATCTGTACTGTGCGAAAGCTCATCACAGAAGGGCAGAATGAAGTGAAGTCCACCCCACAGGCTGAGGGCAGATGTGCCAGCCCCGTCAGGAGTGCGATGAGCCGGAAGCTCAGAGGAGAGACCCAGCCTCTTTACAAACTCTCTAAGAGAGGTGGAGCCTTCTGGTCAGCTGAGATCATTTCATGGTGCTAGCAGCCCCGTGGGTCATGGACTTGAACCAATTTGTCAAGCACGAGCCACAACAGTCAGGGTGGTGTGGGCACCAATAGTCACATAGGACATGACATGAAGATCTTCCCCCGGGAAGTGGCTTCCTATGGGGCATTTGTTCTTGGGAGACTCTAGGTTAGGTGGTCACCCAGTACCACAAGGTCACGGAGCGGGTTAGGGCTTTTCTTGAAGCTGGCAGAAAGAAAAAGCACTTTCTACCTGAAGGAAAATGCCACAGAAAATCTAATTCAAAGGTGACATCAACAAATGCTTTATTTTCTGGGGATGAAAACATTAATCTTCTAAGATGCAGCAGGAACTTCAAGCTT